AATAATAATTAATTAATTTTCATAGTCTGAGAATGATTTTTTGAAAAATTGAAAGTTAAGAAATAATTTTTTTTACAAAATGGTATAATCATGTTTTAGAGGATAATTGCTAAATTAAGATTTTTAAAAATATTTTATCAATATTATGAGTAATGGTGAATAGCTCCCAAATAGCTCCCAAATGTTTTGGTGATTGTCAATTTGACATTACTAGATTTTTATAATTAATGTTTAGTAACGAATTTTAAGAGATATAGTTATATATACACGTTTATTTGATACTTCAAACCAAATAAAATCTCTTTTCAAAAAAAAATTTTGAAAATTGTTTTCTTTATAAGTTATAATAAATTTTCATTTTAATTTAATTTTAAATAAAGATAACCCGTACATTGGACGGGTACTAAACTAGTATATATATATATATGTGACATTGTCTTCTTCGTAGAAATTTCACAAGCTAATCAAACTTATAAAAATCAAGAATCAATAAACCACAAAACTAGATGTTGGTAAACATTTCGTATTGTACATTCCCTATAAACAAGTAACTTTTACCATCTTACTAATTCATCCCCACCCAACACACACTTACCTCGCATATATAACCTCTCACGTCTAGCTCCATTAGTTTCTCTCTTTCTCTATCTTTGTCTCCCTTTTGTACTCTCTTTGTCTTCGGACCATTCATTCGATAAAAGTAGTTTCAGACAAGAATATGTCTCCAAGAGGATCCAAAAGAGTGAGTTTTAGTCCCGAACCAAAAGAAGCAAACGACGAACCAATCTTCCCAACACGCACCGGTCTCAGCTCCTCACGGCATGGTCGTCGGAGGGCCGTCGTCGGAATTTTCAGCTTTGGAGTCAGTACTGCGCCGGCGGCTAGGAGATTTCTCCGGCGTGTCGGAGCCGGAGTCGGCAAAACGTTTCGTTTGATATCGTTCGGCGGGAAGAGCTGTAACAACACGAAAACGATGCCTTCGTCTTCGTCTTTCTCTTGCTCTTCTTCGTCTTACTCTTCGACGTCTATTCCTCTGGCCAAGTCAAAGTCTCTAAACGAATCGGAGTCTCACCGTGCAGAAGCTATTGAGGACTGCATCGAGTTCTTGAACTCTTGTTCTTCTCTGTCGAGATCAAACTCGATCTCCACCACGTGGTCTTGCTAAGCTACGGGTTTGACCCGATTCAGGTTCGGGTTCGATCGACAAAGCTCCATGATTACTATTCTTTTGTCAATGTAAAAAGAGTTCAAATCTGCGTAGGTGATCAGAGTTGCTTCAGTTAGCTAGTGACTGACTACTAAAAGGTTATATAATTCTTCAATCTTCTTCTTCTTCTTTGTTTTCGTTTAAGTTTCGTAACAAACTATAAACCAAATTTATTTTTTAATTGTTACCAACTTGTCACTTCTTGTCAACAATATACTCGACATGCAGTAAATAACTCAAATATGTATTGGATTGTTATAGTTTCAACATGAATCAGATGGTTATGAGTTATGACGTTATTTATTTAAATTATCATGTTGTTTTTTTCTAAGTCATACCATTCACATCTCTGTTTACTTTTCATTTCCAAGTTGTGCAGCTTTCGAATGTCATGAAACCCATTAATCGATGAAATTCGTGATGCACTATTTTGCTTCCTAACAATAATATTCCTATGCAAAAAAGACAAATTATTAGTACCATAAAAACAAAAAATAAAAACGAAGTGGACCAGTTTAGAATTCAAAAAGAGAGGTCGAAATCAAAGGACCATATGATATGACTGAAAAAGCTTCCTCTTTTTTGACCAATATTTGGATGCATATCTTCCCAGCAGATAAAAATAAAAGTAACAATATTTAACTTAGACATTCAGATTCTTATTTAAAAAACTTAAAGACTCATCATAACAAAACATTTAAGCGTTACAGGAATTGTAGGTCCCTGAGCTCTACAGCCTTTTAAAGAATCCAATGGAAAAGTTTGTTTCTATCAAACCTCAAGAGTTGAAGCTTTGTGCTGAAGCTTTCTTGAGCTCAAGTGCTCGTTTATAAGGTGGTGCGATCGGAGGTTGAATCGGGTCTAAACTCTGGTATGACGATCCATCTGCTTCTTTAGGAAGTGGGTAAGACCGGTCTGAGTCGTAACCCGTTAAGTCACCACATGCCAAGAATGGTATATAAACTTTGTTGGGTCCTTCAAGCCAACCACTGCTGCAATCTGCAGAGTACCAAGAAAATAGATAATTGCAGGAACAATATCAAAAAACTAAAATATTCTCTTTTTGAAGCTGACGTGATACTAAAGAATATTTCTTTGTCTTGCCCAAAAGGTTAACTTCACATGAAGAGAGCACTTTAGGTGAGAGTTAGGTTGACAAAGAGTAAATTTAAAGTGTACTACTCAACAATGCACACGTTAGTTGTGTCTAACTTGAAGAGCTTCAGATTTTTGAAAGTGAAGTTATGAGATTTTTTACCAAGATCGCTTCCACCTGAAGGGCTTCCGACTTTCTCCAAGAGACGGTGCAGATCTTTCGGGTTAAATCCTTCTGGTGGAGCGTAATTTTCGCAAACAGCAAAAGCCTCTATAGAAACAGAGTAAAGAATGTAATAAGAATCTCTAAGAAAAAGCAACATTCACATCGTTGATGGTTAAACCATTGAGTAAGGAAATCATATATGCACATGTGAAAGTTGTATTTTTTTACCTATACTCGAATTGCGGCTACTTTTTGGTTTCGCAAAAGTTACAGTTGGGAAAAACAACTTCAGCTACAAATAAAAGGTATTAAACTATATCAGTAAAAGCAACACTAAGTATTATGAGCACAATGTCATAACTTACTTTACAGTTAATTCATGAGCACAACATCTAAACTTACTTGACAGTACAAGAGACTTGTATCTTTTCCGCGGAATATCTTTGCAATAAATTTTCCACCTTCTTTAAGAACATGGGTCACAATCGTTAAGCCCTGAAAAAGGGTTTGTTTGTTATTATTCATGATCATATGCTTCAGGTTGATGCTAAATAATACTGATTCTTGTAAATAAGAGCAAAGCAACTTACCGCTAGAATTAGTTGGGACTGGACAAATTCATCCATGTCATGCAAACCGGTAACTGCAAACCAAATAGTAAAAGGCGTTATTTTGATAGCATGCAAATATTTAGCGGCGAAACAAACACTATATATACTATCTCACCATCTGGAGCACCATCACAAACAACCAGGTCCGCTTTGCAGCCATCAAAGTGTCTAATGACCTTATGGAAAACCGAGAATCAGTAAGCTATATATATCAAAGACAAACTCCAAACATAACCAAGTAGATAAAAAAATATATCTATGAGCTAGGAGTTGAGAAATTTTACCACTTCAGCAGTCCGAGCATTAGTTATGTCCCCTTGAACCTGGATGACACCTTCAATTGGAGCCATAGGCTGCAAATCTATGGCCACTATAAGAGGAAGATCTCCTTCTCTGCATAGTGTTTCAGCAGCAACAAATTAATTTCACTTTTTTCAAGAAGTGAATTATTGAAGTAGCACAACTAAACTAAAGAGAAAGGATATTGAAGAGAAACAGTGTGTAATAATCTAAGCAAATATGAAAACTCACTTTGATTCAGCAGACGACTTTGCAGGAAGATACAATTGACGACTCAAGACCTACAAATTAAGTGCACCGAACAGATTCAGAACGTGTTCTCTTAATTTTATACACTACAAAATCAACCAGAGAACCATATAAATGAATTTCTAGAGCATCCCCTGTTCTCCCATGCCTATCACTTTCTGTTTGAGTGTTTTCCTCTATTTAACTCCTACTACACTAACCGAGCTAAGTTATCAGCTAACTGAGATTGCAACTCAAATTACATTCATATGCAAAAAGATGACCGCAGTGATAAAATAAACCCTAATAATCTCAATAGCTCTAATTCAAACTTTAGAATTTCTGAACATTATTTTCCTTCTTCGATGCAAAATGGTCGGTGGTAGTTAATTCGTTATAGAGCACACATAAAAGATCTGCTAACTGACTAAGCCGACTCACATTATTACCAATGTGAATAAATTAAACTCAAGACCACCATACCTGACTCCAGCTACCAGGTGCAGCACATAAATCTACAACCCTCTTCACTCCTGCATATAGGTAAAAGTCAAAAGTTGGGAAGTTAAAGTGGTCGTTCAGCTGGTCAAACGTATTGCATTCTAATCATTCAATAAATAGTTTTTGACCAAGATCTCGTTAGATCAGACTTGGCATCTGTAGATGAGGGTTTATGTGAGACTATTCACTGACATAGTAATTACAAAAGGGGGAACATAAAAGATTAGAAATTCATAGATTACCTTCAAAAATGTTAAATTCTTCATCAATCTGAAGAAGCTTAAAAGCACTTCTCGCACGCCATCCTTCTTCTTTGGCTTTACGATAGTAGATATCCTACAAACAATTGGTTAACGCCCCGCGAGTTAAGCAAATCTCTTCCCCGAGAAATGTGGAGTGTTTAGGCTCTAAGAACCAAAATAAATTTCATTTAAAGGCATACCCTTTTGTCCCGAGAAGCTTTTCCCATGTCTTCTAAATAAGAAAAATGAGTTGATTAACTGCAATGAACACAGAAGGTGAGCGAAAATTGATCGGACATAGATAAGTTAAGCCAAAAGAGTGTCTCAGAGGCATACTATCGAACAGGTTAAGGGCATTATGTAAGAAAGACAATTAGTATACTAGCTCAAAATACAACAAGGATATAAAGAGAACCCACCAAGTTACCGCACAAAATACAGCAGCAGCTACCTCAACGGAAGAAGATTAACACCAAAGCAGAATTTTAAGCTGGAGCCTGACAAAGACTTTTTTTTTTTTTTTTTTTTTATTCTTCTGTAGTTTTTGTTTTATCTGTGCCTTAATGAACAATTTGGAATAAATCCGAAATAAGAGTTTAGTTGGTCCAGAAACAAAATACGAAATAAGAGTTTCATAAAAAAAGTTATCATCGTCTAAGTTATTGGGCTTGAGCCCAAATTTATTAATTTTGTTAATTTTGGCCTATTTCTATGGATTAAGGCCCATTTGTAAACAAAATGTGTTTAAAATAATCCAAAAAATCATTTCGTAATTTAAGCTTGCTTTAAAAATATTTGTATACAGATAAATCAAAGTTAAAAACCAAAACTTTGGACCCAAAAAAATAAAATAAAAAATGTGAACATCCATTGACTGATTTATTGTTTAGTTATGATTATATCCGATCATTAACCGACTATAATATAATGGATAATATTCATTTATAACTTTTCAAAGATATTATTATTAGTTAGTGTATAAGTATAAGTTTTGGAGTAAGGAGGATTTATAAAAATCTTTGTAAGTAATAATGAAGAAATAGAGATACCTTTCAATGAATTGATACGCCAACAATATGAGTTTGGTCGGTCGATCTCATGTAATGGTCTCACTTCACATTTCACATTGCACATTTATCTCGTAGACGTTGTTTGTCTTGTCTCCCACCCACTTTTTATATCACAATCTTTCTACAGGAATTTTCAATATCTACTATTCTCCTAAATGGTGACCACTAAGAGAATATATAATTTCCCCACTATGTACAGAAGAATTTGAACAAAAAAAATCGCTTAACTATATATATGAAAGGTGATGATCAAGAAAATCTTGTTAGTACTTGTTCTTCTTGATATGTGATCTCTATTTGGACGTTGAGTTGAAGAATCAAATCAAGAGAGGATCAAACTGGAAAGCTGCTTCTTTTAAATCTCTCGGTCCATCCTGAAAAGACCCAAAGGGCATCAAAAGTCCATCACTTATTCTGTATTGCTGCTCTTAACGCACTAAAAAGCCCATTCATTACTTAAGTATTCTCTTCTACTTCTTCTTTTTTTTCTAATGTAAATGGTTAACTACATAATACATTCGTACCCATGACGACATCACTCTGAATCAAATGTTCTCACGTATCATACAATTTCTTTTCCAGTTTTTGCCAATAAGCATAATAAAGTCACGGAAATAAAGAAAAATAAAAATACAAATCGTAGATTAATGAAATATAACCGAGTGATTATCGTAGAGAGGATCCAACGGTAGCGAAATGGCGAGTGTACAGAGAAGAAGTGGAAGGACGCGTAGAGGAACATGAACAGAGGAAGTGCGCTTTGATGACGCGCGTGGGATTTTCTTTAAACGCGTGAAGTTTAGTTCCTTAATGGGGCTCTCAAGCCGACGCTAATTTAGGATTACACTGTCACTCTCACTCCCATCTCTTCCATTTTTATTTTTTAGAATAATCACAAGAAAAATCATTTTTTATAAAAATATACTACTTGTATCATCGAAAGATTAGTGTGCACGAAAAACTGTCAAAAAAACTTAACCAGTGAGAGATTCGTTTTGTGTGTTAATAATGTACTAGCAAAAATATTATTATAATCTCTAGAAATATTCACTTATATAAGTTATAACCTACACATTCTATGTTAGATATATGAATAATTGTCTGTTTAAGTGCGTAAAACCGATAAGCTAGAATTTCATAAACCTATGCGAACCGATGTAAATACTAAAAGATATGAATTAGTCCTTAAAATAAACCATACTAGTAGTATCTATGATAGTTACGCATATTCCCAAACAAAGACCATCTATGATTAGATTACCACATTTATTCGAATTTTATCTAACTTTTCAAACAGCGTAGAAAGATACGATTTTAAAAAAATACACAAGTCCAAAATCAAATGATGGAATCATAGTATATTAGAGAAGCAGCAGGTAAAAAAGACGAAGGAAAAAAAAGAAAGCTTCCTGCTTTTATGCTCTCTCTCTCTCTCTCTTTCTCTTTTATCATTTCTCTCATCTGAACATACACTTATAACAAAGGCGGCCGCATTAAAAGTTCAAAACAGAGCATTTTTTTAAGTAGACTTCTTCGTTATTACACTACTCCTCAGTCACTCACTCACCATTCTTAAGGAATCAGAGCTCTTTACTCTCTCTCTCTCTGTCTCTCTTGCATCCAATCTTTCCCATTCTCTCTCTCTCTCGTCTTTGTGGCTCTCTTTATCATTTTAAGACTCTTGCGTTTGCTTCGGAGGTTGGAGAACGAGACAGAACTAAAGTCTCTCTGTTTCTTCTCAGACAAAAAGGATAAAAAAAGGTGAGAACTTAAAGACAACTTCTTTCTTCAAAAGATTTATATCTTTTTCAAATCAAGAACCAAATTATAAAGATTCTAACTTTTTTGCTTTGTTGACCGTAACAAATATAATCGATAGCTAATGTCGGGTGAGAAACAAGCGGAGGAGGCAATAGTAGTCGCCGAGGAGGATGGGGTGGCCGGTAGAAAAGTGGAAGATTCAACGGCGGAGGAGGATATAGACCGCGGCGGCGATGGATTTAGTATGAAGAGCTTCCTCTGGCATGGCGGGTCCGCTTGGGACGCTTGGTTTAGCTGTGCATCCAATCAAGTAAAGTACTTTGATCATTATTACTATATATTTATTTTTTTACAAAACAAAGGTTTCTTTATTAATATAATAAAGAACCAAATTACTCTTTCTTTTTTGTTAGTTTGTCCTAGATGGTTTTTATTTTTTCTTGATTTCCATAAAACATTCTTGAAACAAATAATAACAAGGTTTAAATTAAAATATGGATGCAGGTGGCACAGGTGCTGTTGACACTGCCGTATTCGTTCTCGCAGCTGGGAATGTTATCAGGAATATTGCTTCAAATATTCTATGGATTAATGGGATCTTGGACTGCTTATCTCATCAGTGTTCTTTACGTCGAGTATCGAGCCCGTATGGAGAAACAAGAGGCCAAATCCTTCAAAAACCACGTTATTCAGGTAAATATCGTTTAGTTTATAACATATTTGAGTATCAAAACCCATGTAAATTATATACATACTGAATTTGAGTTGCATGTTTTGTTTCCATAACCCAAAAAAAATTAAAATTAAAATTTGGGAAGTGGTTTGAAGTGCTTGATGGGCTGCTGGGTCCGTACTGGAAAGCAGCGGGGCTCGCATTTAATTGCACCTTCTTGTTATTCGGATCAGTCATCCAGCTCATTGCTTGTGCTAGGTACTTCTTCCTTTCTTCCTTTTTTCTTTTTTTTTAACCACTTTATTTTTTCTTTCTCAATCTTTTAATTATCATAATTTGATTCATGTGTGTGTGTTATTGTGGTGCAGCAATATATATTACATAAATGATAGGTTAGACAAGAGGACATGGACTTATATATTTGGTGCTTGTTGTGCCACGACCGTTTTCATTCCATCTTTCCATAATTACCGTATTTGGTCTTTCCTCGGCCTTGCCATGACCACCTACACCGCTTGGTACCTTACCATCGCCGCTTTTCTCCATGGCCAGGTATCTCATCAAGAATTTAAAAAGAAAGAAAAAAATGAAACAATAGTGGCTTAAACTGGCTGTGAGATCTGTTGGTTTGTGATTTTGTAGGCGGAGGGTGTGACACATTCCGGTCCGACCAAGCTTGTGTTGTACTTTACCGGTGCCACCAACATCCTCTACACCTTCGGTGGACACGCTGTGACCGTGTAAGTCTTATTTTTTTTTAAATATCATGCATTAACAAAAATAAAATTTAGGTTGTGAATAGTGATGCGTTCCTAACAAATAAATGTATTAAACATTTTGCAATTTTTATTTTTATTTTTTTGGACAAATCATTTCACAATTTATGTAGGTTAATTTTGTTGCAAATTTTTTATTATTAAAAAGTCTATTTTCTCTGAAGATGATGTTTCTTCTTTTATAAATACTCATCTCTTTTTAGCTTCTATATATGCAGCTTTTGCCGGTTACTTTAGGTTCTGTACTAAACGCACAAACAGACAAAATCATTATTACGAAATAAATAAAGGACAAATCTACCAGGAAAATTCGATTTACCTTTTTAACACACTAGCTAGTTTAACTAATAATCTAAGAAATTCATTATCATTTTTTCTTTACGATCAATCGATCATACTAATTACTAGTACTATAGGAAATGTTATCTTTGAGAGTACGTAAGTTAACGTAACCACAGTGGTCGGACCGGACGGCCAAACTCTGGCCGGACCCATGAATCCAATGTAAAAGACTTTTATGCAATAATATATATTTTTTTTATGCAATAATATTCCTCCTTTTAACCTATAGTATTAAAATTGCAGGGAAATAATGCATGCGATGTGGAAACCAAGGAAGTTTAAGAGCATCTACTTGATGGCGACTCTGTACGTCTTCACGTTAACACTTCCGTCGGCCTCCGCCGTCTATTGGGCTTTCGGCGACCAACTTCTCAACCACTCCAACGCTTTCTCTCTCCTCCCTAAAACGCGTTTCCGTGATGCCGCCGTTATCCTCATGCTCATCCATCAGGTTCCCCTATCTTAACTTAATACGTAAAACACGTTCCACAATACAATTACATTATGCATTAATGGTTTTGTCCAAGCACATGCTGTTATTAGCCTATTACGGTACCGGTCCAACCTAAGAACATTATTCTCTTTCTCATAAAGGAATCATCTTTTTGTATACTTATAGGTTATGACATAGACAAGTGCGTCTAACCATTTAATTTAATTGATTATGACTATTTTTCTCGTCTTTAGCTTATAAACATAAAAATTTTATAATGAAAATGTTTATAAATACTTAATGGATTTGAGATTTGTTTTTTGGATACACATATACAGTTTATAACATTCGGGTTTGCGTGTACGCCATTGTACTTCGTATGGGAAAAAGCGATCGGAATGCACCACACGAAGAGCGTATGCCTAAGAGCGCTGGTGAGGCTACCGGTGGTTGTTCCAATATGGTTTTTGGCCATCATTTTCCCGTTTTTCGGGCCAATAAACTCGGCAGTTGGAGCCTTACTAGTTTCCTTCACCGTCTACATCATCCCTGCCTTAGCCCACATGCTCACCTACCGCACCGCCTCTGCCCGCCGGGTACTATCTCTCTCACTCACACACATTGTTAGCATCCCTTGAATAGTTTTGAATAGATCAATACCCCCAAAAATTGGGGATATAATTATTGGAGGAGATAAATTGATACATAGAATAGGTTGAGTTATGAGCTGGCTTATACTTTTGCATTTAATCCCAAATCAATGAGGTAGGTCCTTAGAGACGAGTGACCATTATTACAATTTGACTAGTTTCACTTAAACATATATTCTCTTTGATACAACGATTAAATAAGTAGATTAATTCATGCCAATGATACGATGTATTGATTTGTTTATCTTGTGATGACGTGGCAGAACGCGGCAGAGAAGCCACCGTTCTTTTTGCCCAGCTGGGTCGCAGTTTACGTGATAAACGCTTTCGTGGTGGTTTGGGTCTTAGTTCTCGGGTTCGGTTTTGGCGGATGGGCTAGCATGACTAACTTCATTAGGCAAATTAACACTTTTGGCCTCTTTGCCCGATGCTATCAATGCAAACCGCCGCCTCCTGCTCCGATCACCGCTGGAGGTCACCACCGCCGTTAAATTAAGCCGCTGCTAGTGACGTGTGAAAGTGTGATCGTCTTTTGTATAAAAGGATATACATATCTATCTATCTATATTTCAGAAAATTTAGCCATGCTAAAAAAATTTGGTTAAAATGATTAGCGAGATGGTGCCCTTTTTTTGTGTTTGTCACGTGGTAATCTTTTAAGTTTTATGACAAGACTAATGTGTGTCTTCGGTCTTCCTAACTGGTAGAAAACAACTGGATGCTGACAAAATGGTTTCTCATTTTAATCAATCAGCCAATCTGTCATATTTGACTCCGACGACTATAAAGAGTACACAATCTTTTTATTTCCTCCAATTTTGAAATTTCTTCCGCTTGGATTTTTTTTTCTTAATGTTCTAGAATCTTGGTGGTTTTAGGATTTTTGTGTATAATAGTCACGGAAAATCCAAGTTTTTTTGGCCTTTATTAGATATATGTATAATTCAGCGTGGAAGAGGAAATTTATTTTTACATAAATTTGCAGCCTAAATTCAAGCAGAAACAACACCACCTCAACGAAGTACGAGCCGAGTGCAAAGATGATAAGCAGGCAACTATCGAATTTTCGAATACAAGTTCTAGGGTCCTTGCAGGCTTAGATAGGCCCAATATAGACTCAATTAAACTAGTGGGCCTTACATCGAAGGCGATTTGTTTACTTCTTATTTGTGTATAAACTAGGTTCGGACCCGCGCTACAGCGCGGGGGAAATAATTACATATATATAATTTTTAACGGATTAGAATATGTTACATTTTAATTTTGTTAGAGTGCAGTCGATTACGGTAAATCATATATTTGTATAATAAGTTTAAATAAAATAATAAAGAAAAAGCGAGTAAATAATCATATACTGAGTTTTGTCGATAAATTATTCATTTTGACTATTTTTGTAGTAAAAGTAGGAATACACGTAAAAATTACATATTTACAATATATTTTTTGAAAGTCCGACCCGTAACAGAATTCATTTCGTAAAAAACATTATTCGTAACTCGCTTTATCA